ACTTGCCTGCTAACCAGACGGCTGGCGGTTCAAACCCACCAGCCACTCCTCGGAAGGAAGGTTGGGCAATCCTACTTCCGTAGTGATACTGCCTTGGAAGCCCAAGGAGGGGTCGCTATGAGTCGGGTTTGACTCGACGGCACATAACAACATAACAACAACTTCTGTAAAGATGTATAGCCTCAGAAACCCAGTGGGGGTCGCTATGAGTCAAAATCAACTCGATGGCAGTGGGTTTGATTTTTTTTTTTTTTGTGATGCAATGAAGGCGCTCTGGTGGTGTAGTAGTTAAGGCATTTGGCTGCTAACCAAAAGGTCAGTGGTTCAAACCCAGCAGTTACTCTGTGGAAGAAAGATGGGACAGTCTGCTTCTGTAAATATTTACAGCCTTGGATACCCAGTGGAGGTCACTATGAGTCAGAATCAACTCAATGGTGATGAGTTTTGATGGTGCAGTTGTTAAGCACTTGGTTGCTAATTGAAAGGTCAGACATTTGAACCCATCAACCACTCCACAGGAGAAAGATGTGGCAGTCTGCTTCTGTAAAGATTACAGACTTGGAAACCATTTGGGGCTGTTCTACTCTGTCCTATAGGGTCTCTATGAACTGGAATCCACTCAATGGCAACAAGTGTTGAGAATTTATTAGGAATGAATGAGATGCATTATATTCATCATCTCATTTATGCTTCATACATAGTCCCATTTTGCAGATGAGCAAATTGAGGCTTTGAAATTATGGTGCTAGTGAGTAGTAGGACCAACCATCCTAATTCCCACTCCACCTTTCATCACTACACAGTGGTAATGTTCTCTGTCCTAAAAAGCCAGCTATGCTCTCAATGGAGCTTGGTCTCTGCTTGGAAGTACACAGTGATTCGGAGCTGCTTATAGGCTGGGTGAGAGAGAGAGGGGTGGTTTGCACACCTGCATATTTTTTAAATGGGTCTATGACTTTGCAATTTCAAATTGAAGAAGAGTTAGTGTGCCAGTAAACACAATGAGCCTATAAATCCAACCTGTAGTCACAGAATGAAAAATGGACATTTTATAACTTTTCCCCTTCCAAGTACTCCTTAAATTTCAGTTTGGATAGAAACATGAGTGGATGGGGAGAAGGAACCCAGATGGCTCTGATTGTCCAATGGACGTTCAGGAAGAAGGCAACCATGTAGGATCTACTAGGAAACCTCAAAGTGCCATTGCCATGTGTTTTGGTTCTCTAGTGCTGCTCTAACAGAAGATACCATAAATGAGTGGATGGCTTTAACAAATAGGGATTTATTCTTTTGTAGTTTTGGAGGCTAGAAGTCTGAGTTCAAAGTGCCTCTAGAGGCTGGGTGAAGGTCCCTTAACCTTGGCCTTCAGCTCTGACTCTTGCTTCTGGCCCACTGGGGCTGCAGGTGTCTCTTCACTCAGACAGCTGCAGACTGCTGAGGCTGACAAACCCAAGGTTGACAAATAAAATGGCACAGTCTCAATATTACCAAACAACATGGCAGGCCACTAGTTCAAGTCCTTAGACAGTTCCAAGATCGGCAGACAATATGGCAGGCTGCTGAATGAAGACTTGGCTACATGCAGGGTCCAAGCATGCCAAAAGGCTGCAGAGACCTTTTTTGATGTTTTTTTCTTATATCCTGGAAACAGACCACATCCCTAAGGCAGCTACTCAGCTGCTCCAGTAGATTCCACCATGGAGCTGATTACCAGTTTCATCATGGGGAATAACTACATCCAGTTGCCCAGACACTCAAAACCAGGCCTAGCCAAGTTGACACACAACTTAATTATCACACCATATCTCTGCTGCATCATTGCTGTTATCTTTTTTAAGATTCCTAGGACAGGGGATTAAAATGAAGTGTGCTTTGTACTGACTAACCAATTAGAAAACATAGTCTAAGTTCTGTAAAGAGTTATTCATTTCATAACTTCTAGGTCAGTGCCTCTCAAAGTTTATTGTGACTGAGAATCTCTTGGGGATCATGTTAAAATGCACAGATTGAGTCAGTATGTCTAGGGCCTGAGACTGTGCATCTCTAACAATATCCCAGGTGATGCTGATTCAGCTGGTCTGCAGATTATCCTTCGAGTAGCAAGGGTTGAGGAGACCATCAATCTTCAGTCTACTAATGCTGGTCTTGACCACCAACATAGCTTTTTACCACTGTGTGTATGCATTTAGATATGTTTATATGTAAATGTGCATATGTTGATGTTGTTGTTAGGTGCTGTTGAGTTGATTCTGACTCATAGAGACCCTATGTACAACAGAACAAAACACGGCCCAGTTCTGTGCCATCCTCATAATCCTTGCTATGCTTGAGCCCATTGTTGCAGCCATTATGTCAACCCATCTGGTTGAGGGTCTTCTCCTTTCTCTCTGATCCTCTACTTTATCCAGCATGATATCCTTCTCCAGGGAATGGGCCCTTCTGACAATATGACCAAAACAGGTGAGACAAAGTCTGGCCATTCTCATTTCTAAGAAGCTTTCTGGATGCACTTTTTTCAAGATAGATGTTTGTTCTTTGGGTAGTCCATGGTATTTTCCAGTATTCTTCACCAATACTATGATTCAAATGCATCATGGTATTTTCAGTATTCTTCACCAACATCACAATTGAAAGGCATCAATTCTTCTTTGGTCTTCCTTATTCACTGCTCAGCTTTCACATGCATATGAGGCGATTGAATTTAAATGGCAGGGCTTGGGTTAGGCACACCTCAGTCTTCAAAGTGACATCAAAGTGACAATGTGTATATATGTTTGCATATGTATGTATATAGGTGTATGTATTTATGTATGTATGTGTGTTTTATTGAGTGTGTATAGATATGAATGTGCAGAGGTGATGTCTATTTATGCACAAATATTATGAATTGGATATAATTTGTATGTATGCACATTTGTGTGAATGCATATATGAATATGTGTTTATGAATATATGCGTCTTTGTGTTTATTTGTGTGTGACTATGTGTATGTTTCTCTGTCCAGAGCTGTCTGTGTTTAGGGGCAAGTTGATTGGGATAATAGGACAACAGGGATTCTGAAGAGAGAATTGAGTAACATATGTATGTCCATTCTGATTATTATAACTTTGAGAGAGCTAAAGGTTAGTGACAGTGGTAGTAGCCTGCAGGTCCATGTAGGTCCAAAGATGAGCAGGACCAAGACCTTCCCCTATAAGATATGCAGGCAAAATGTGACTTAGAAATAATTGTTTAACAACGTTGAGGTACAAAATGAAGATATGGGTTTGATCATTTTTTGGGAAATGTATCTATCTAGAAGTTACCATGAATATTAATGGCCCTGAAGGGATGTATATGAAATGAAGGCTCTACTGCACTCCCACTCCTTCCTCCCGTCCCCATGTTTAATGGTAACCTTTCTATTTGTCTCATTGTTCCAGAGGTACAGTAATGGGTTCAGGATTTATGACAGGGAGGAGAAATTTCTCAACTCAAATGAAAAGAAGACATTTTCTGAAAATAGTTTAAAGTATGGAGAGCCTATCCTGTGGACCAAGGGTGAGATCCTTGGGAAGGGAGCCTATGGCACAGTAAGTCAAACTGGAAATATGATAAAACTAGAAACCTCTACCTCTCCTCGACCCATCCCTCTTCCCTAGCTCCAACACACACTCTTTTACTTAGAAATCTTTCAGTTGGTAGTAACAGAAAACCCAAACCAAAGTGGCTTGAATAAAATGATGTTTATTGATTTATGTAATTGAAAGTTCTGGAGCAAGTCAGGCTTCAGTAGTCAATCCTGACTTCAGGGGTCAAACAATGTCTCCAGGATCTGGTCTCTGTATCTCTCAATCTGACTCCCATTCACAAGCTCCATGTGGTGGCAAAATGGCCATAGTATCTTTAGCCTCTCACTCTTGCATGTCCAAGTCCCTTGGACATAATAGCTCAGGATATGTTACCAGAAATTGGGAGAATGGTTTTAGGGTGGCAAAAACAGAGTATGTTCCTCCTTATGTTTTGTGAGTTGCATAAAAGGCCTTCTAAACTCCTAGCACTTTAGATAGTATTTAAATATATGGATAAAGACTGGCCCTCATATAGGTCCTGTTTCAGCTCTAGTTGGGGGCATTTCTGGAATCAGTGAGAAGGTAGTAAGACATAAGCCACTGAAATCACAGAGCTTTAGAGCTTTCCACAGTTCCTCCTTTGTAGAAACTTGCCTGTATCAATCACAACAACCTTGTGTTATGGCATGGCAGGAGAAACCCAAATACCCAGACTCCAGAGATTAGAACCAAATCTACAGTCTACATAAACAGAGAATTTTGTGGTACTTTTCTGCTCTATGAAAATGTATCTTACATAGAGGTTTCTCCAAGAGCATCTTTGAAACTAAAGAATTTCTTGTTTTTCCAAGTCTTAACCATCAAATGGAAGTTAGATACACAAGATTTCCCCTCTAAATCTCAAGGAGAAATATTTCTTAAATGGACATATATATTAAATGGACCTTTCCCAAACCACCACCTCCTACAGTCAACCTAGAAATCTGTGCTGCAAATATTATTACTTCAGTTTTACAGATAAGAAGAACTGAAGATCAAAAGTCATGTAGACTTTCCCAGAGTTCCACAGCTGGAAATTGGTGAGGCCAGGATTCTGACCAATCCAGGCTACTTGACTCCACGACAATATGATTGCCATTTACATTGTGGCCCATCCCTAGCTTGGCTCCACTGAAACAGTGAACCTGCTTATTTTAAATTAATTGCAATTAGTGGGGATGTATCAACTTAGAGAAATGATAAGGGTTTTGGGGAAGAAGGTGAAAACAAAAGTTACTTGAGGCATTTTGTGAACAAGTTATATCAATTATATTTAATAAGGTATTGATTTGCTTCTAGGTATACTGTGGTCTTACTAGTCATGGGCAGCTAATAGCTGTAAAACAGGTGGCTTTGGATACCTCTGATAAATTAGCCACTGAAAAAGAATACCGAAAACTTCAGGAAGAAGTAGATTTGCTCAAAGTACTGAAACATGTCAACATTGTGGCCTATTTGGGGACATGCTTGGAAGAGAACATTGTAAGCATTTTCATGGAGTTTGTTCCTGGTGGTTCAATCTCTAGTATTATAAATCGTTTTGGGCCATTGCCTGAGATGGTGTTCTGTAAATATACAAAACAAATTCTTCAGGGTGTTGCTTATCTCCATGAGAACTGTGTGGTACATCGAGATATCAAAGGAAATAATGTCATGCTCATGCCAACTGGAATAATAAAGCTGATTGACTTTGGCTGTGCCAAGCGTTTGGCCTGGGCAGGTTTAAATGGCACTCACAGTGACATGCTTAAGTCCATGCATGGGACTCCTTATTGGATGGCCCCGGAAGTCATCAATGAGTCTGGCTATGGAAGGAAGTCAGACATTTGGAGCATTGGCTGCACTGTGTTTGAGATGGCCACCGGGAAGCCTCCACTGGCTTCCATGGACAGGATGGCTGCCATGTTTTACATTGGGGCTCACCGAGGGCTAATGCCGCCTTTGCCAGACCACTTCTCAGAACATGCAGTGGACTTTGTGCGTGTGTGCCTAACCAGGTAAGACACTGAAAGCAGGAGGAGAAGGATAAATCCCAAGATTCTAGGCAGCTGTCATTTCCCTCCAATGTGGGCCCACTTTGGTTACTAAATCAAGTACACAGTGATTTTGTGCTGGAAGAAGACATGATTGGCCATATTGTGATTGTGTTCATTACCACATCAGAGTATGTGGGGCAATACTTCAAGTAGAAATTATCTCAATTAAATCTTCTATCAGGTCCTGATAATACATTTTGAAGCCAGTGAGTTTGCAAAAATTGCTAAATGTTTACTTATTTACCAATGTGACATCTTCCCAGAGACCTATTGTCATTAGGTGCCCTCAAGCAACCCTCACTCGTATCAACCCTAGGTACAACAGAATGGAACACTGTCACTGTCCATCTTGCACCTTCCTTGCAACTTTTGCTATGCTTGAGCCCATTTTTGTAGCCACTGTGCCCATCCATCACTTTAAAGGTCTTCCTCTTTTTTACTGACTATCCCAGGGACTGGCCACAGTGAAATGACACCACCATTTTCCAAGCTGCCTTCTCTGTCAGGGAAGCAGTGTTCTGATTATCTTCCTATCAAAACCTGCTCTCAAGAAAGTATGTGACAAACTCCTTCACATTAGGGGTTTGATGACAGACCAGGTTAAATGCACTGGTTCCCGACTTGCATTTAAAGTGAGGAGAAATATTTTGAGCCAAAAGAACCAATCTCCAATTGGTGCATTTCAAGCCTTAAGTGGAAAGTATTTGGAGAAGCAACCCCTCGCCCCAAAAAAGCAGCCTATTTCACCCATTTTGACCTCTTTTCCTATCTATGGAATAAAATTCTAGGTAAAATGTTAGAGCTGTAAGGAATTTAGAGATTACCTAATGCTATCGTTTTCAAATACAGGGACTCTCTGCTCATATGGAATCTTAATCCAAAGAATAAAACATATATATATGTAAGTAGAGAGAGATGGCTCTGGTTAGAATGTGTTTGTGTGTGTTTTTATGTATGTGGTGGCAGATAGCTAGATTGTAGGGGTAGGGTGCTGGATCTCACCCACTTAGTCTCTAGGATGATACAGAGAAGCCTAAAACCTACTCAATCTAGTGAGGCTCAAAATTTAGTTGCATGTACAGGACAAGGAATCCTAAGATTCAAATAACAATTTTTTGTCTTTCAGGAAAGTGTGCTTTTCCTGGCCCATACTTCTTTGCTTTCTTATTCCTATATGAAAAATGTATGCAGAAGTTGTCAGCAAATACATATGGCAGCCCCCAACCCCCAGGGGTTCATTTTGCCTTTCTTAATGAAGCCCAGAACCCACAGGTCTCCCTACCTGCAGACTATTCCCCTTTCAGTTTCTCCCCATTCCCTAGCACACACGTACAGGTATACCTCAGAGATATTGAGGGTTCAGCTCCAAACCACTGCATTAAAATGATTATTACAATAAAGCAAGATACAGTTTGTGGTTTCCCAGTGCATACAAGTTATTTTTTACACTATATATAGTCTATTAAGGAGCTCTGGTGATGTAGTGCCTAAGGCATTTGACTCCTAACCAGAAGGCTGGTGGTTCAAACCCACCAGCCACTCCTCAGAAGGAAGACTGAATCTACTTCTATAGTGATACTGCCTTGGAAACCCAAGGAGGGGTCACTATGAGTCAGATCTGACTTGATGGCAGTGAGTTTGGTTTGTTTGGTATAGTCCAGTAAGTGTGCAATAGCATTATGAAAAAGTTTGAAATATTATGAGAATTTACCAAAATGTGATAGAGACACAGAGTGAGCACAAACTGCTGTTGGAAAAATGGTGCTGATATGCTTGCTTGATATAGAGATGCCACAAACCTTCAATTTGTGAAAACAAAACATAACAAAACAACACTGTAGCTGTGAAGCACAATAAAGTACAATAAAACAAGGTATGCTTGGACCAGACTGTCCTAGAAAATTCCAGGGGAATCACTTGGGCAAGAAGCAAGGTACCTCTCTATATATTCCAGGGGTGTAGTTTGCGCATCCCTAGATGGAGAGACACCTGAAGTGTCCCAGTGTGGATATGATGAACAGAGCCCCAGGCACAGTGTCACCATCCCTCCACCTCCACCCCCACCCCAAAAAACACCACCCTACAAGAGAGACGTGAAAGTGTTGGGAAAATCGCACAGACCAGTATTATTAGTTTTGTTGTTGTTAAGTACCGTCAAGATGGCTCTGACTCAACCACCCTATGTACAACAGGACGAAACACTGCCTGGTCCTCTGCTAGCCTCACAATCCTTGCTATACCTGAGCCAATCATTGCAGCCACTGTGTCAATCCATCTCATTGAGGGTCTTCCCCTTTTTTGCTGACCCTCCACTTTACCAAGCATGACATCCTTCTCCAGGGAAGGATAATACCTTCTGACAACATGACCAAAGTAGGTGACATGAAGCCTGGCCATTCTTGCTTCCAAGGTGCATTCCAGCTGCACTTTTTTCTTAACATAGGTCAATGCTCCGCACCCCCCCCCCCCCCCGTGTTCCCTCCCTTCCTCTCCCACCTCTGGTAAACAACAAAGAAAGTTTCTTTCCATATATAAACCTTTCCTTGACTTTTTACAATAATGAACTAATACTGTATTTGTCCTTCTGTGATTGACTTATTTCACTCAGCATAATGTCCTTCATGTTCATCCATGTTATGTGGTGTTTTGCAGATTCTACATTCTTCTTTAGTGTTGCATAATATTCCATTGTGTCCATGTACTATAGTTTGGTTATCCATTCTTCTGTTGATGGGTACCTAGGTTCTTTCCATCTTTTTGCTATTATAAATAGTGCTGTGATGAACATGGGTGTGCATGTATCTGTTCTTGTTCTAGCTCTCACTTCTTTAGGATATATACCTAGTAATGGGATTGCTGGGTCAAATGGTATTTCTAACTCCAGCATTTTAAGGAATTGCCATACTGCTTTCCACAGTGGGTTGTCATCATTTTACATTCCCACCAGCAGTGTATGAGAGTCCCAGTCTCTCCACATCCTCACCAGCATGTTATTTTCTGTGCTGTTGAACTTTGCTATTAGTGCTGGGGTGAGATGGTATCACATTGTTGTTTTGATTTGCATCTCTTTGATGGCTAATGATTGTGAGCATTTATTTCTTCATGTATTTGCTGGCCATGTCAATATCCTCTTTGGTGAAGTGTCTCATGTTTTCTGCCCATTTTTTTTTAAGTGGATTTTTCATCTTTCTGTTGTTGAGGTGTTCGAGTTTTCTATAAATTTTAGAGTTTAGTCCCTTGTCAGGTATGTCGCTGCTGAATATTTTTTCCCCAATCTGTAGGTTCTCTTTTGACTCTTTTGAAGAAGTCTTTTGATGCACATAAAAATTTAATTTTTAGAAGGTCCCACTCATCTAGTTTATCTTCAGCTGTCTGTGCGTTTTGGGTTATGCTTGATAAGTCTATTTATGCCATAAGTGAGGGCCCCTAAAATTGCCCCTAGTTTTTCCTTGAGGAATTTTGTAGTTTTAGGTTTCACATTTAACTCTCTGATCCATCTGGAGTTAGTTTTTGTGTATGGCATGAGGTACAAATCTTGTTTCATTTTTCTGCAAATGAGTATCAAGTTTTGCCACTGGCTGCACTTCTTCCAGGACAGATTTGTTTGTTCTTCTGGCAGCCCATGGTATTTTCAGTATTCACCAACATCACAACTCAAAAGCATCAACTCTTCTTCGGTCTTCCTTATTCATTGTCCAGCTTTCACATGCATATGAGGTCACTGAAAATACCATGCCTTGGGTTAGGCGCATCTTAGTCTTCAAAGAGACATTTTTGCTCTTCAGCACTTTTAAGAGGTCTTTGTGGCAGATTTGCCCAGTGCAATATGTCATCTGATTTCTTGACTGCTGCTTTCATTGGTGTTGACTGTGAAACCAAGTAATATGAAATCTTTGACATCTTCAATCTTCTCTCCATTTATCATGATGCTACTTATTGGTCCAGTTGAGGATTTTTGTTTTATGTTGACATCCATACTGCAGACTAATTTTTAATCTTCATCAGTAAGTGCTTCAAGTCATCTTCACTTTCAGCAAGCAAAGTTGTCCTGTCTGCATATTGTAGGTTGTTAATGAGTTTTCCTCCAATCCTGATGCCATGCTCTTCTTTGTATAGTCTGGCTTCTCAGATTATTTGCTCAGCATATAGATTGAATAACTATGGTGAAAGGACACAACTCTGATCTACTCTATTCCCAATTTTAAACCACGTGGTATCCCTCTGCTCTGTTCGAAGGACAGCCTCCTGGTGTATATACAGGTTCCTCATGAGCACAACTAAGTGTTCTGGCATTCCCATTCTTCTCAGTGTTATCCATAATTTGTTATGATCTACACAGTTGAATGCTTTTGCATAGTCAATAAAACACAAGTAAACATCTTCCTGGCATTCTTTGCTAATACCAGTATTAGCTAATACTAGTATTAGTTTTGGAGACTATTAAAACAAGTAGTTGCTTTGTTCTGTCTGAATTCGACAATTACTCATTATAGGCCAATAGCTAAAAAAATATTTGCTATTCTCTTTCTTTTGTTATTATTCATACAAACGCAAAAAGTTCAGAAAGAAAGGGTAGAGTCCTCTATTTTATGGAAGTCAGGGTAGTTTCTACCCAACCCTTCGAAATCTTCTTCAGAGGAGCATGGGGAACCAACTGAGCAAGCTCTTTGATGCCCTTAATACTTATCACCTGGAAGTGTGATTTCACGAGTCTTTATTTTATTCCGTGGCTTTTACTAGGGCTCAGTTCCTTTGGAGAAGATTATAGGGTGGTCTTGCTAAATACGAATGAGATTCTTTAAACATATATAATTCATATCACTTCCAGTTTCTGCTGGAAACAATTCCATCTCACTCAGAATAAAATCCAAAGTCCCTGCCATGACTTTACTAGGCCTTCCTGACTGGTTCTACAGTACCTCTCCATGCATATTTTCTACCACTCTTTTCTTTGATTGCTCTGCTTCAGTCATACTGGTCTCCTTCCTTGGCCTCCCACATGTCAAGCCTACTCTTGCCTCAGTGGTTGCACAGGTTGTACTCAACACAAGGGATGGCTCCTCTCAGACCACCTCATGACTGGCTCCCTTCTTCCATTCAGGTCTCTGCTCAAACATCTCCTTGTCAGACAACTTTCCAGATTGGCCAAAATAGTGCCCCACATCATTCTTGCCCCATTACCCTGCTCCACTTTTCACTGCACTTACTACTATGCAGCCTTTAATATTTTTGTTGCCTGTCCTTCCCACCAATAAGCTCCATGAGAGCCAGGTCTCGGTGTGTTCTGTTCACTGTTGAACCACCTAGAAGAGCAATTTAGAGTACCTAGAAGCCTCTAGATACTCAAATATTTATGAAGTTAATGAATGAACACTAGAGTCTAAAATAGAAGAGAGTTATGAAGTGCAATGAATAAATTCAGAGTTTTTTTTTTTAAAAAAACACCTATTCTAAAAGAACAGGCATGAAGTAACTGGATAGTGGTAATCCTGTCAAAACCCTTAATACAGTGACAAAAACAAAAAGCAAATTGGCCATGCTGGTTTAAATATAAACTCACTGTAATCCTTTTTCATTTGGAAACTGTACTTTGGAACAATTTCTTCATGAACAAAACAATTAATCCCCCCTCCCCTCAATAATAAATAGGTTTGTTGTGAAGGTCAGGTAAAATGGTGTGTGTAAATTGCTTAGCAGAGTGTGGGACATAATTAGGTCTCCACAGTTAATAACCATTAGGGAGAATACTAACACACCTTACCCAATTAGTGTCATACAGAAGGTGGCATATAATTATCTTCTGAAATTCTATGGCAAAGACTCTAAGGACGCTAGACTCTTGCTTAATGTTGGCAATATTCCTTGGCGACAGATGTAGATAGATTCAGAAGTAGAGGTGATCAAGTATGTTTCTTCTGAACAAACAGAAAAGAGTTTTGTGGAGCAGTGAGAAACAAGTGTGGCTGGGAGCCCAGCTATAAGCAGGCTTAAAGTTGTGGGAAGTCACTTCAGGGAGTTTAGCAGCGAGAAGCTCTGGCTGTGAAAGATAATTCTGGGTAAACATAATGAATTAAACGTCTTTGGGAAGGCAGGTCAGATTGTTGCGTACTGAAAGTCCTGGAATACAGGCTGCTTGAAACTGGGAAGCCATGCAGGAATTCAGAGCTTACACTTTAATGGTGATGGAAAAAATGGGATTGAGGAAAATTAATTCCAGAACATTTCAGAGGACGATGACTCATTAGATAAAAGGACTGACAGAGAAGTATGATAGAATTTCATGGTTTTGAGTCTAGGTAATGGAAGAAATTACAACAGGAAGTTCTGAGAGAGGAAAAGGGGAGGAAGTTGAAGAGGGTCTCCCATCATCTAAGGAGGCATTTGAAAATAGAGAATTGGAGCTCAAGAAAGTGATAAAAGCTGGAGGTATACACTTGAAAGTCATTATAAAGTTGACAGCTAGTCATGAAAATAAATTAAGAGGGCTGAGGAAAATGTCTTTGAAAATGCTCATGGGGAAAGTAACAGAATATGCATAGTATCAAGTCCAGCATACATGTAACTGGAAGAGGGACGAAAGGCAGTTGCTCCAATGAAGCAAAAGAACCTAGAAGAGAGTTTTCCAATAATGTAAGTAGAAATCATTTTAGGAAGGAGCAGGTAGTGAGTATTTCAAATGCTACAGAGATGAGAAGGTGGATGAGCTCATTAAATTTGGTAATGAGGCCATGGCTAATTCCAAGAGGGCAATTTTTAAAGAGAAGTGGGCCAAATGGTTGGGGTTTCAGATGTGTACTGGGGAAAAAGGCCACTGGGCTTGACCATTTTAGAGGTATGTGGAAAGAACAGAAACAGGATGATAACTAGAAGCAGTAACTAGGTCAAGGATAGGACTTTTGAAAAGATTTCAGCATATTCTGAAGGCAGGAGTAAGAGCCTCCAGAAGGTAAGAGGTTTTAATTTTGAAATGATGTATGGTCACTTTCCTTTAAAAGTACTTTATTTCCATTTTAACCTAGCTATTCTGGGGGGATCAAATTTGCTTTCAAAATTATCAAAGGGCAACCAATTTAACCAAAAGAATGCTGCTGTACTAGGCTAACCATTGACTGGTTCATTACTTCATTGAAGGATCAATACATTCCCCAAAGCGTTTTTATCTCCTGAAAACAAAACAAAACCCACTAAGCCATAGTAATAGTGAGCAACCCTCTCTTCCCTTTACTTTATGCTCACCTGAGTGCCCAATATAGAATTATTTCAATTAATCAAGAAAGCGTATTTAAATGTCTACTTTTAAGTCTTTTTAGTTCCAATCTCTAATGCCTCTAAATTTTAAAAGTAAATTTAATGCTAATTAGAAGTTCAATAAACTGTACACCTAAAAATGTAAATTTTAATATATGTAAATTACACCTCACATTGAACAAAAGTACAATGGAAAAGAAGGACCTTTTTAAAGTAACTACCATATATGAACATTTAATACTATGTGCCACACAATTTAAAAGTTTGTTGTTATTTCCCTTAATTCTCCTAACACGTTAGTTTCTCCCATTTACAGATTAGGAAAGAATCTGAGTCACTTGCCCAAGATCACACAGCTGAAAAGTGGAGTCTAGATTCAGATCAAGTCCATTCGACTGTCAGAGGTTTTATTTCCATTTCGAAACCTGCATTTTGAATCAAGCAGATGTAAGTTGGCAGGCATATTATTTGGTGCTGCTTCTAATGTGTCTTTCTCTTCTTAGGGACCAGCACGAGCGACCTTCTGCTCTCCAGCTTCTGAAGCACCCCTTCTTGAAGAGAAGTTACTAAATACACATCAAGACTTTCTTCCCAGTTCCACTATAGATACTCCATTATTAATTGTGGGGAAGGAGGGTTAAGGGACTTTTGTTTTCCTACTGGAAATAGAGGGGCTCTGGTAGCATAGTGGCTAAGGCACTTGACTGCTAACCAGAAGGCTGGTGGTTCAAACCCACCAGCCACTCCTTGGAAGGAAGATTGGGCATTCCTACTTCTGTAGTGATACTGCCTCGGAAACCCAAGGAGGGGTCACTATGAGTCAGGGCCGACTCGATGGCAAACAACAACTGGAAATAGAATCTAACCCTATTTAACCAGTTCCTCTAGGTGTCACTGGGTTTTAGTTACTAGTTTCCTCAAGGTTCAGGTAAGATTACTCATGTATATGGAAGAAAATTTTCTTGGGGGGGGGGAACCCTATTCCAGTGTTTACAATTTCGACTGTCTCTACTGCTTTATGATAATTTCCTTTTATTTTTGGCCTGTCAATTTTAATGTCATTAAGTTTAAAATAAAGTATAAAAAAACTTGCATTTTCTTGCTATGTAAGAAGATTTAATTCTTGCAAAGGAGACTAAAGAAAGTTAAGAAGGTAAGTTTAAAAAAAGTAGACTTGTTTACCTTGGTAGCAACCTTAATTTTGCAGATTCTAGGGTCCTCAAGGTTTAACAGGAGTAGGTAAGGGACATGACATTTCATTAACCAGAGGATTCCTGAATGGCCCACCTACAAGTTGGGCTACTGAAAGTGGCTCCATAAACCTCAGTCTGCTGTCATTTACTTGCAGTGATTTAAGGTTTCTACCTGTTTGTACAGTAAATGAGGTCTTTACTACAGCCAGAATTAGCTAAGCCTAAATCAGCTGGTGGTTGAGTGGTAGTATTCTTGCCTTCCACAAGGGAGACCCAGGTTCAATTTATGGTAATGGCTCAGGAAAGGGCAGCATGCATTCCTTTGCAGTGTGAGATTACCTAATAAGCAAGGTAAGCATGGACTTACTAATCTGTAGTGAACAACTTAACCACATCAAAGTATGGCTGGCATGGCTCTTTTCCAACCCATCGTCTTCTTAAAGAATCAAAGCCTCTTTTCAAATTTACAATCCCTCATTGGGACGGAGTACTCTGTAAGCACTGTGATGTGGTGAAAAGCATGTGAAACTGTTTACTACAGATTAGTAAACACAAGTATGCCTATGCTTACCTTACTTGTTGGGTAACTGTCCCCTGTTGTGCATGGGGTCACCATGAGGCCAGGATGACTAGACAGCAGCTAACCACAACAAACCAGCTGGTGGGACAAAAGCTAGATCTCTTGGAGAACATCTGAACAGACATCCCAGCTGTAGTCGCTTTTCACGTTATTTCCAGAACACTGGTAAACACCGTAAAAGTGAACATGGATGGTTAGTATCATTACAAACCCTTTTGTCTGAAGTCAACGGGCTGAGCAGTTGATAAGGTTTCTATTGCTGAATACCCCACCCATCTACTAAATTTCATTAGTTTTAAGCTACATTTTTTTTTTTCTAAATTCCTTGTCATCATTTAAAAAAGGCACAATAAACAACAAATTATAAAGTGTGTTCTAACAGCAGTTTCAGGCTTTTGTCAAAATCCATCTGCTTCTTTTGAGAAATGTGAAATGCAGCCCAGTTGGGATGAAACAATTTTACTTTGGCCATCATGCTACTTTAGATAGGATGGTATGGGAGTACTTTATGTCTCAAATTTATAGTTCTTCTATTATTAAGAATAATGCAAGGGATGAACACATCTTTCACATATCAACATGAGTTTTCAAACTATATTTATGTAGCTCAAAACATGTCATTTTGTTAAGCTTTCTTAAAAATCTGAATGGTTATACCTGATTTCGAAGCAATTGACCATATACATTCAAGCCTGTTATACCCTACAGGACATGGACAGTAAAGACTTGTTACACTATGTTTAGGTATCACATTATCAGGCATATGCAGTTGGTGTTAACAAACTGACTTGTCTATTGATAAAAATATTGAATACAATTTTGAAGTATTAAACAGGGCCTTCACAATTTTAAAGTTTTGAACATGCAAGCTTTGACCCTAATGGCTTTGTTGTTTATGCCACTCATTGTGTTTTATATCCCTGTTTGGAATTTTGCTCATTACAGTCTCCAGCTATGTTTCCTTTTGTATCTTCCTTTAGGAGAAATAGGGTTTGAAAGGAGGCTGGGAGGTAGGTGTTTTCATTTTTATCAGTAAAGAACAGGGCTCAGAGCTAAGTAACTTTCTGGTAGACAGGAGTCTGGGCTGTCACCGGATTTCCCTGATTTTAAAAAAGCCCTTCCCCTACAGCCTCCTACAGAAATCACCTTATAATCAGTTACATCCTCAAGTTTCATTTTAATTCAAACTCCACTGAGATGCTGATAAACAAATCCACTGTACAGTTAAATTGTATGAAAAACTTTTCACTTACCCACAATATTGCCTTTTCTCCACGAGAGACTTTTTTCACCAAGAGCAATACCCCTGAGTTTTCAAACTACATTTGTTAAGTGTTTCATTATGTACTGAATCTTCCTATACGCTCTGGGCCTCAAGCTCAACCCAAAGAATTTTAACTCCCAAGTTCTAATAGTCAACTCTACAGCATCTCCCTAACTTTAATCCCATTTGGTGCACTTCTGGTTGCCAAAGTGTAAACTGAGCCCTGGAGCACATGTTTAGGAAATGTCCGTGTCTGCTTTATCCACTCCCTCCTGCACGAACACTACAGCAGTACATTAGAGTGTAAGGAGTAGGTCCAGAACAACCCATTTAATGTGCTCACTGAACAGAAACTCCATTACCTAACAGAACTAGTCTTTTTTCCCTCATACTTGCTGCACTTAAAATATTCATTTGTAACAAAACTTACTGCCAATACTTCAATTCTGACTCACAGCCATCCTGTAGGACAAAGCAGAACTGCCCCAAGGGGGTTTCCAATGATGCAATCTTACAGAAGCAGACTGCCCCATTTCTCCTGTAGAATGGCTGGTGGGTTTGAACTGCTGATCTTTTGGTCAGCAGCCAAGTGCTTAACCACTGTGCCACCAGGGATCCATTTCCAGGTGATTCTGACAACCTTAAAGTACCCAGTGTAGGTAGTCTCTATCTTCACTGGTAATCAGCAATTAAAGTTAACAAGGAAAAGAGAAGCACTGTTTGTGTATGTCACTGTAAAAGGTGAAACAGCTAACAGTCCTGGGGAAAAGCTGTAGTACTTGGTTTTACTGCCATGGCTATTCAAACCTGTGGGAAACCATGGCTGAATTCATCCCTAAAACTGTTCCTATGGATTATGACTTCAAAGACTAAGGAAAATTGACCTTGGGCACTTGTACAGTCTAAACAAGCCTCTTAATTCCGTGGCAGTACGATCAAATCCCTCATTAGGGAGGCCCTGTATTCTTCTTTGGGAGATGATGTTGGGAAGAGAGAAAAGGCAGATCATATACAAGAGCTAAAACAGAAACAAACACCATTTTTTTTTCATTGTATTGAAAAGAACACTGGAAAAAAGAGAAGGAAGGAATAATGGCCCTGAATGTATTCTGGTTAAGCGGAATTACTTTGTAAAGCTCTTAAATAAAAGTGAATCTAACTTATCACATGCTGGTAAAGGAGTGAACCTATACTGGTGTTATCAACCTAGACGAATGTGATTTAAGGATAATTCTGGACACAGTAGGCATGAAGTGTTTAATACACACTCAAGTTGTGAAGCACTTGGATTGGCCTTCATCGCTGCTTCAATATCCATATTCTACTCTTGAAATGATTCTCTTTAATGCCATCCTTTCTACTTAGCCTTCCCTTATCACCCAAGCCTGAAACCACACAATCTTAAGAATAAGTACTATTACTGACACTTCATAAGTTAAGGATACCAAGGCACATAGAAGTCAAGTAATTCACCCAAGGTCATTCAGCTTTAGTGGAGGGGCTGAGGTTGGAAGGTGGACAGTCTGATCCTAGAGCCCACACTTTCTGAAAATATCTAAAGTTACTTGGACTGGAAGAACCAATTATATTAAGAGACCCCATTTTCCGTATTTCCCATGGACGCAAAAGTTATTCGATTCGCATTGACAGGCTAGAGCCTTGGACATAGGGTGTAAATAAACAAATTTTATTAATAATTCTTTGTATGGATACTGAGAAACTGAAATATACCATATATACATACTATTTTAGAATTTCTTTCAGCAAACATCCTATTTAATTTCCTTGGGAGTTTTGAGTACACTCAGAAAATGAAATTCTAGTCACTCCTGATAACAGATTGAGTACATGTGAAGTTTTTCAAACCAAGTGAAGCTGCTTGAAAAACAAATGCACCTTTAAAAACAAAACAAAACAATGTACTCACTTTAACAATGGAAACAGGCAGATTAAGCCAATTGAAGTGCCCATACTCAAGAGCTTTTAAAGGTAAGTTTCCTCACAAAATTTGAAAATAAATACCATTAGCCAGCTTTCAGAATACTTTTGAGATTATGAAACACAATGAACAGGTTAAGTCACCTATATGAGAAAATAATTACGTCTAGTCATATAAGCCTTCAATTTATCTTGCTTATCAACTTACCTAAAGAACCTGTCAGGCAAAATCCAAAAACCAAACCCAACTCACTGCACTGCCACTGAGTTGATTCCAACTCTAAGTGACCCCCACCGGGTTTCCAAGGTTGTAAATCTTTATTGAAGCAGAGTGCCCCATCTTTCTTCTGTAGAGTGGCTGGTGGGATGGAACCACTAGCCTTTTTGGTTAGCAGCAAAATGCCTTCACCATTACACGAGAGTTCCTTGTCAGGCTGAATAGATACTGGTAAATAAGAGAAGAACAGAAAAAGGGAAGTCAGAGGCAAAAGCTGGCTGGGCCCAAAATGACACTGTGGAAAAGAGCTGGATGAACAGTATCAGAGCCAAGACACTGAAGAGCACCCTAGTCCCACTGGCAAGATCATCCCTATAGTAAAAGTGGATGTTTCGGGCAAACTTTTCTCATAAACCAAGCAAACTTCTGCTCATTTGGCTTACATATAGGTAGTGTACATGATCAAACTGCTCATGGATTTTATATATCAAAGTAGCTCTGAATTCTCAAGTTAACACATCAGTATAATCTGGCATTCCAGAAGGACAAACTGCTGCTTTTCCAATGCAAAAAATTCCATCTAAATTAGCCTTTTACAAACAAGTGGGCACACAAGAGGAGCACATACCATCCTGTGAGCTCACTTAATGCTAGTTTCTCTGCAGAGTGAGGTTTGTTGATCCTTCACCAGGGTAAATGCAGTAAGACAGTGAATCCTATCACCTTCCAAGACAGCCTTTGAGGGGAGAGGCTGCCAGCTTTCTTGACTTCCAGAAACACCAAATTATGAATTCTTTATAAGAGCTCTCACATTTCTCTCCGACAAGATCTTAAATATTATCTAGCAATTTAAGTACAGTAGTAGGAGAGAAACACTACTTTTCACTTAGATAAAATTTCTGAAAGATGAGATACCTTGAAAACAGAACTGTCTTTGTAAATCTCACCTCTCTCTACGTAAGATACAAAACCCTGAAATATCTAATCAACCCAGGGTACTTTTAGAGTCTGTAATATTCATGCATATATAAAACCAAACCAAAACCAAACTCACTGCCATTGAGTTGGATCTGACTCACAGCGACCCCTCCTTGGGTTTCCGAGGTATCACTATGGAAGTAGATTAGATTGCCCAACCTTCCTTCTGAGGTGTGGTTGATGGGTTTGAACTGCCAGCCTTGTAGTTAGCAGTCAAATGCCTTAGGTACTATGCCACCAGAGCTCCTATGCATATATAAGCAATGGTTTATTTCAAAGATTTGTTGAGAAATTAAAAAAACAAACAAACAAACAAAAAAACATTTAAATTCTCAAACTAAAAAAATGTGCCCGAAACACTTTCAAAGCACAAAAAATGCTTTAAATTTGGTTTTCTGAAGCAGATCTCAACTAGTCATTTCTTTAGTATAAAGACAGAAAAGTAAAAAAAAAGTACAGGTCCCCTACATGATTACAACCTGCTGGGACAATGTGAACAGTCCCTCATGATATTCTACATGAAACCAAACATCATGGTAGAAAATTTCTTTAAATACTCTAAATATAAGAAATTTAACCAGAATGAATCTGCATACACAGAGGAAAACATGTAACTGCTTTCAAAGATAAACCTAGGGAAAATCACATGACTTTTCAGGATTAAACACTTGCAATAAGAACCAGATCTCAGGTTAAACTAGAAAAAGGAAAAAGGAAAAGGAACTCATCACTGACGTATCCCCCACCACGTCTGTAAAAAGTAGGCCTCTGAGAATGTTTCTGTGAATAAACACCCTTTTATTTGGTTCTAGAGAACTTCGTATTTTGAAGTAGCTAAGGCAAGTTTAGGGGCACAGCTCACTGCTGGGAGAATAAGGTGAAAGAGGTAGAAATAAAACCTTTCTTTGCAATGTGCTTCTCCATAAAGGTAACAAGTCTGTGATCTAGGGAAAATGCATCTTAAAAATGAATCACTCTTTTATAGGATGTTTAAAGATAAAATGCTTTTTAATATTTCAAATATTTTTGAAAATCTCATCAAAATGTATCACCTTAACAGTACTTTGCACATGTGGAATTTCATACCTACATTTGATGATACTATTTTGGTTTATTTATGGCTACTTACAAGAAGACTCAGTAATAATGTCCATTCACTGGAGTCTTTTCTTTGGTTGAGCCTATTGGGATCAGGCTGATGAACTATTTTATGCAAATAAGACGGTTAAAGCAAATTCATGGCATATGAATTTTAAGAGTTTTCATGTAATAGAAATAAACCTTAAAAGGATTTCCATATCTATTCCCATTGCAGCTTTGAAAGCTTAATACCCTGTTCAGAGGTTAATGAGTTTGAAGAGCTCACACAATCTGTAAAAATTACAACTGGCTGCCCTTTAATAAATAAAATCATTGTAAAGAATTACATTTACAGAGTGAAAAGTGTATACATAGCATTTCAGATTAAATTTTGTAAGTACTAATAAGTACTGACCCATAACAATATACACTAGCTACTTTTTAACTGTCCATCATTAGCACCAATAAAGATTCAACAAAATTACCTTTATTCTATTCCCACATCTCAAACAATTCTGCAAATTGCAATTCTGCAAACTTAGTGAAGTTTAAGTATAGTCACAGACCTTAAATATTCACATTGTCTTCTATGTCATACTGAAAATAAATTCACTACTTTTCTGGATAGCTTTACAAATATTATTAAAATTCCTGGTATATCATTCCCAATTATACAGTAGAACAACCACCCTATGTCATATCACATGATAGCTCCTTAGAGGTTTCACACCTAAATTGCCAAGAACAAAACCCTTCCCTCCCTCATCTTGAACTCAGCTTAATTCTACTAGTTCTTGGATTATGTACCACTGTAAAAGTATAACTGTATCAAAATTACCATGTTTATGGATACAATATTATGTCATACAAAGCAACGAAGTTACATGTAATGACAAAGATTACTAAAATTATGCGATACAAGAACAAATGTTAGGACATGCTAGCTAGGCAAAGTCGCTTGAAACAGGCTCCTAATCTCCTAAGTGGAAATAACATTGATGAAAGAATGAACAATCATCTTAAAAAAATTATATAACTACTGGTGAATTAGAGAACCGCTAAAAAAAACTAAACCACGGGATTAAACTCTAATATTTACAACTGGAACACACTTGACTAAAATTACAATTGCGCACATATCAGTGGCTTTGTAACAAAAATAGTTCATATACACAGACAAAAAATTAAGACAGTTTTCAGTTCAAAAGAAGTTGAATTCAATCCAACTCAAAGACACTCAACAGCTCAAAGATCTACCACAGAATAAATTCAAGATTAGCTGATAAACCAGAGCCTTATCACTGGCATTTAACAGAAACTTTAAACAAGCTAAAATCTGTCATTTATTCAGAAATCAGATGACTGTGCAAACTTTATCTACCTCAACAGGAATATATTGAGATAAACAAATAAATGTAAAACCTCCACCAGTGGTTAACTTGGAGGCTGAGAGCTTCCTGGTAACAACTAGAAGTTATAAATACAGGTACAATGCACAGTCAGTGATTTTTTTCTTTTTATTTATTATCAGAATATAAAATAATTGAGAGAGCAATAAGTTTAATTTCATTTTTTATAAGGAAGACTGCGTTCACCTGAAAAGGAAATATGGCATCACACACAAACACACTTTAGGGAAGGAGTATGATTAAGAATATGGTTATCATTCTGAATGCTAAAAGAAAAGCAATCCCTGTTTACTATTAAAACATGTAGTGTTAAAGTTCTTTGTTTAAGGAAAAAACTTACTAATTCTTCACTGTGTAAGTTTCTGTGAATTTAGTTTCCAAAGTATAATAATCTACATAGCCATTATTAACATCTCTGTGTTTATAGCACTACAACAAGCCAACAAACATTAAATGCACTTCACATCAAGAGTATGTAAACTTTGTTTGCTCCTCTTCAAGCCTTCAGAAAACTAGGGGCTATTTCAGCCACCAATCTGGTCAGATCCTGAAGGCGAAAGTTCAGTGCCTCACAGTGTTGATAACCATCGGTGGCACTGTACACCCATCCTGTAGTGAAGTGTCCTCCCCTTTAGCGGCTTCCAGTAAGGCCTAGAGTTTAAAGTTAACATGAAAAAGTGCCACCTTTGTTTTAGATTAGTGATGGACTCCAACACAAGATAAAATAAAGTTATTTTGTATATTGTTATACTTACAAGCAGCTCCAATCCTGAGTATTTATGGTAATATCTAAACATACAAAAATGTATGTACATTTTTCTCCACTTTCTTGTAAACAGTTATCAGTATACTGTTTTATCCCTTTATCATCAAAACATGCAAATCATACATACAAGTATAAATACACAAAACAATTTATACTCATTCAAAAGCCAAGCAACAATAACAAAAATAGCTACAGTATTCAAATTATAAATAAATGCTTGAGGCATCTTATATTCCTAGAAGCAGCCAGCCATTCATCCTAATGTTCTTAGCTGCAATTGTAGAAATACTGAGTTTTGCGCCTTCCATGCTTTTACAGTATTTATAACACTATCATATGTGGAGATAAAGACTTGTTTACTATAATCTCTTCTTTTCAGAATGAAGAATAAAGCAGCACTTACAAATATTGAAGCAATGGCAGCAACAGCAGCTGTTACCACTGCCAGATCAGGAGGAAGTTTTCCATTCTAACATTTTTTAAATTAAAAAAAGGAAAGGAAAAAGTGACCTAAACAAATGATTACATGTTCATTCCTTGGGCACTTAACAGCGAGTCCAGCATGTCGAATGTGTCTTTGTAGTCCATATGCTGGCTGTTTGTACTGTACTCGTGATTGACATCAGGACCGTTGGTCTCCACTGGCTTCTTGTCCAGTTTCACGAGGGTGCTGAGATGTCCGTAGCCCACCTGGTATGTGACAGGGGGAGGAGGGGGTAAGGGATGGTTAAAAACAGAGTTGTGAGAGGATATATACTGCTTAACAGAGGAGGAAGAACTAGATGAACTACCTGAACTTTTGGAACTTTTGCTCATTTTGGAGTGGTGGTTGTGAGATGCATCATTGACATGCAGCTTCTTCCTTGAAGAGCTGGAACTAGAGGAAATGCCATCACTGCTCAGGCCAACAGGACTCCTCAGAACAGTGGGTGGTATTCCGTCAGCACTGTGCTTATTGCCACCACTGCTGCTGCCACTATGCAAATGGGAATGCTTGTGGCTGCTGGTGTGGTGGCGGTTGGAAGGGTGTTCCTTGTGCTTGTCCTTATGGTCTCTGCCAATATGTGGACTCGAATGCTTACTCTTCCCACTGCCTTCATCAGAAGAACTGTGTCTTTCTGAGGAGGAAACTTTTATCTTCATTTTCAGTTCTTCTTTACTGGCGTTTTTATCAGTGGGTGGTATTGGGATCCGTAATTTCAGGGATCCACTCTTTTCCTTTTTGTCTGCCATATATTTTTCAGGTTTTTCAGGGTTTGTGATGGGAATTTTCATTTTAATGGGAGAAGTTACAGAACTGCTGCTTGCTGCCTGTGGTTGCACATGTTTGTGTTGCTGTTCTACTTGGGCAGCTATATAGTGATCCCTTACATCCAGATCAAGAGTTTCTAGCTTACGTTTTTCTCTGTATTTATCTAAAGACATTTTCTGAGGAATTATTCCAGGAGTAGCAGAAACTGGCCCATGGTGCTTACTGCTCCCTGCTTTATGAGTATATTCTTGTTTAACAGAAGCATGATCAGAAATTTTTTCAGATCTGTGATGTAATCCTGAATGCAGTGAAACAGAAGGTCCCTGCTGGAAGTTGATGTTGTACTGGCTACCAGACAAAGACGTTTCCTGTTTCTGTGAATATATCTGTTCTGTCCTTGCTGACTCTTGATCTTGAGGCCAACCTTGGTGTGATGACAAACTGTATGAGGTACTTGGCATTCCTGTTGCTAGCACTGACAAATTATCAGATGCATGGCTGTCTTGAATAGAAGAAATATTTCCTGAATTTAGAGGTACTGGTGCAGGGAATGTTGACGTAGATGGTTTTGGAAAGCTTGGATTTGCAGGCACACCAGTGACACTATCTACTAAAATGGAATTCTGGACCAATGATGAGCCAAGAAGCGGTGTCTCTGTTACTTGTCCATCAACTTTTGGCTTCTTAGCTGCCTGATTAGCCTATTTGAATAAAAAACAAAAGAAGCAATGACAGCAAAGGAATTGAATATAAATTTCTTTGCTTATGAAAATTCTATATATTATACAGAAAGAAAGAAAAGCACCCAAGGTTCAAGGTTTTATATGCTGCCAGTAAATAACTGTTTTATCAGAGGCATAATAAAAGGCTACAGAAAGTTAAATAAGACACTGATTTTGAAATTAGATTCAGGTTACATCCTACTTCAGTATTTGAGAAGTAATTTAACTTCTCTATGCCTTATTTTCCCCTTTAGTAAAATGAAGGTAATACTTCCGTCATAATTGTGTGAGAATTAAATAAGAAAATGTATTAAGCACTTAGCAAAGTCCACCTGACAGTTAATATTAAGTGGGATAAACTATGTGTATAAAACTTATGAGTTTGATACAGTATAATTAGTTAGTAACAACTAGAAAGAAGGCTATTTAACTACAAAATTTCAAGTTGGTTAGCAATATAATTCTTAGATCAGTGACAAATGGATATTCTGTTGGACCCTGCCAATTTTCTTACCCTCCAGTTTCGAATCCTCTTCAACCTACTAGGCGTTTTCTCCAATATTTGTAGAAACTCATGTGTTAGCTCTAAAAATAAAATTTAAATTTAAAACTCAGTAGGTGTCTTTAGAATCTGTAATTCTTGCAAGTGGGCAACATTGAAAAGGAACCTCATAAATTCATCTACTTCATTGTTACCTCCTATTCAAAAGCAGACACAGCTCTGAACTAGTATTTCCAAAGCTGAACCCTTTTTTAAAACCCTCCCCCCACCCCATTTTATATCCTAACTTACAATCTCTAGAAAACTCAGTTGCGTTAAAAATAAAATCCCCTCAAAATAGAAAATCTCTATTAGGCAATCAACACAGTGATAATTGTTGCAGGTACATCCATCAATGGATTCTTTAAAATCAAGGGAGGGGTGGAAAGTGAAAACCACTAACTAGATAGTAGACATGTATTAACCTGAGTGAGGCGAAAGGCAATATACAATAAGGAGAGGTCAGCAAAACATGTCCAAGGCAAAGGAAGACACCAGAAGGTACACAGACAGAGTAAAAGGCAACAATGGTAAATACTATTATATACACAATCGTGCAAGAACAGTAATAAGAAACAATAATTGACAAGTGGACACATAAGTAGATATGTAAACTGAACAGGTGTGGGACGGTTTATCAGAGTACACTCAAGAGCATATACAGGTTTGGTAGAGGGTAGTTCTATATACATAGCCATATGTGCTACAAACACACACACACACACACACACACATATAGATACTTATACATCTCTATATATAGATACTTATATATATGTGTGTGTGTGTGTGTAATAGAACATACAGGGGGCAAAGTTAGGAGAATTTCTTAGCCATAACCAAATATCTTGAGGGGCTGAGTCACTGGGCTTTAGTGCTTAGGCCATAGCTCTGAGGGACATCTAGGTAAACTGGCATAACAGTCCACAAATACACTATTCTATACCCTACTTTGGTGAGTAGCAACTAAGGTCTCAAAAGCTTGCAAGAGTCCATCTAAGATAAAACTACTGTTCTCTTCCTGTCCCGAACAAAGAAGAGAGAAGAAAATAAAAGACTCCAGGAAACAATGGACCACACAAACCACAGCTTCCAATAGCCTAAGACCAGAAGAACTAGATGGTGCCCTGCTATTACAGTCTGCTCTGACCAGGATCTGACCAGGATCACATAGGGTCCTGAACAAAGATGTGGGAGAAAATTATAGAGAACAAATTAAAAAAAAAAAGACCAAACTTACTGGTCTGACAGATACTGGAAGGACCATCAAGACTATGGTCCTAAGACAATCTTCAAACCTGGATCTTCAAACCCAGAGATCACCTTTTAGCCAAACACAGAGAGGCCTACAAAGTGAACAATAAAAATTGGGAGGTACATGCTCCTCAGTACTATCAGCCATATGAGATCAAATGAGACCATTTGCCCCAAAACAAAGTTCAGAAGACAGGAAAAGGCAGAAAAGAACTGTGACAGGAAACAAGGAACCTAGGCAGGAAGCGGGAAAAGTGCTGTTACCTTGAGGGGATTACAACTACTGTCATGGAACAAAAACTATGTACAAATTGTTGAATGGGAAATTAATTTGCTTTTAAGTTTTCACCCAAAACAAAGTAAAATGTTCCTGTTCTAAACTAGTAGGCAAAAGTTTATGGAAAAATAGGGTATTTGCATAATCTCAACATTATCTCTTTCAAGATATTTATTAATTATGAAGAGAAAAACTGTAACTTTACAGTGAAGAAACCCAAAAGACACACTGAGGAAATCTGAATTAAAAATTGCTTGGTTTTAATAATTATAGACTGTTATACAATACTAGTAGAAACTATATGAAAGGAACTCTGTACTATTTTGTACTGTAGTACAGGAACTCTGTACTATTTTGCATTTTATGTTTAAACTTATTTCAAAGTTAAATGTTAAAGAGATGGGGGAAAAAATTCTAGCAATAAATGCTATTAATATACTAGTATTCTGCCCTGGTCATATTTCCACATAAATTTCTTCTTCAAGTTAGGATTACAAGGACATGACTCACTTTTCCAAAGTGGTGTAATTATGATGAAAACCAAAAAACCAAACCCAGTGCCATCAAGTTGATTCTGACTCATAGCGACCCCCACTGGGTTTTCAAGGTGATAAATCTTTACGGAAGTAAAGATTGCTTCCACGGAGTGGCTGGTGGGTTTGAACCACCAACCTTCTGGTTAACAGTCAGGTACCTTAGGCACTCTGCTACCAGAGCTGTTTTATACCCTAAAATAGTGTCAATAAAGTTACTAGCCACTGTCAAGACAAATGCTACTATTACTTAAATGACATGAATATTATTTAGTATTAACCAATACCAATTCAATCCTAATATTGGGGAGAACCTCTTCAGCAGAGAGACTATATACATTTATTATTTTTTTCAGTAAGCCTGTTAATACTGACCAAGAAAAACACCCAAAGAAAACAATTTGGGACAACTGTGAAGTACAATAAAAACTAAGACAATAAAGAATCTGTCTCAAAAAAACAAAGAACATGCAAAAACTCTACAACATTTATAAGTTCATAAGCTGTAATAACCTGTGAAAATGTTTGCTAGCAATTACTCCATCAACCAAAACCTAACCATTAATTTTTCAAGATATAACTTCTATTACAATTTCCTGACTGTTCTCTACTAAAGTCTTACGAGTTTTTGGAGCTGTCTGGATGAAAGAAAATCTAATGCTTGGTCCTCCACTTCTCCTCATTTAAAAAAAGACCACATTTCTATCCTGATCCTAGTAAATCTAGCAGATGCACAGTACTTTTGGGTCTAATATTAACATGTAATTGTTTTGACAACTTTTAAAAATAGTTTAGTTGTCAAAGAATAAATGCATGTAAAATTCCTGGTCCAAAACTTGATACACAAGGAGAAAATTTAAGTTTTATTTTTCTTTCGAAAGTATCCTACCCTGTTAAAATTTATAGCAGAGGAACAAAAAAAATCTATCAAATAATCACTGTTAATATAAGTAACTAGCTCCATGCACCCAAAGCTTGTTGTTGTTGTTGTTATGTGCCGTCGAGTCGGCCCCAGCACCCAAAGCTAGAAGTAGAAATACTTAAAACATATAAATATATATAAGGAGTTGGTTATTAATCATTAAAACAGTAGGAGCACAACAACAAAACCCTACAGTTAGGTCAAGTTTCCCAAGTCAGCATTTTTGGAATCAGTCATTTAATGAGCTATTTCAGTAAACACTGATGCTTCAGGCAACATGCTAAAATTTGTATACATCGTTGTCAATGCTGTTGTTATGTGCCGTCGAGTGGGACCCAACTCATAGCGACCCCTCCTTGGGCTTCCGAGGCAATATTACTACGGGAGTAGATTGCCCCATCTTCCTTCTGAGGAGTGGCTGGTGGGTTTGAACCGCCAGTCTTCTGGTTAGCAGTCGAGTGCCTTAGGCACTACACTACCAGAGCTCAGTATACATCTTAGTATCTTAAAATTTTAAATTACTTTTTTTTTTTTTTGATGCTCATAGCAGAAAAGCCTACTATATAATGTTAAAATTCTCAGTGGTTAAGTTTCCAAGACTCCCATTCAATTACTCTCCAACTGAGTAATGGACATGGCCACCTATTCTGGAAACCCCATACCCAGTCATTTATATATTATCTATGGCAGTGCTCCAGCTTCCATGGCAGAACTGTGTAGCTGCCACAGACCAGATGCAACAGAGCCTTCCAGCTCATAAAACCCTTAAATAGTTACTATAGGCCCCTTCACAGAAAAAGTCTGCTGACTCCTATCTTATAGAAATATAGAAGATTTTATCAGAAGACCACATTCCAGAGCTACAAGTATGTCTCACTTTATGTATGCTCTCAGAAGCAACAGATGTAAATCTTGTTTCCCCATTAACCTCACTTTGTAAAGGAAGCCCCTTTACCTCCTACCAAAAAGCTGAAAAACTGACACACCAGTTAAGGTCAGTTAGATACTTTATTTATTTTCTTTCTAAAATCTACACTATCTAGTTAAAATGTTCTAATACTCCCCCCCCAAATTTCCTATCTCTGGCTAGCTTCTCTCATTTCAGAATCAGAGAAATTACTTTCTTATCGGGAGATTCCCAAATTCCATGTTCTGTAATTTATGGAACTAATATCTTCCTATTTTTCCTTGCCTATTCATATTTAATAATGCAAGGCAACAATATATACTTTGTTGTTACTGGCACTACCAAGCAGGGAACGGTACCCTAAAAATCCCTGTAGCTAACAGCTTTACATTTTTTATAATACCCGACTTTGAGTCGACACATATTAAACTCAACAAAACTAGTATACTGTAAAGTAGGTATGTATACCTGCTCTGTCAATCTATGGCATTATAAATCATACTTCTGTGAAAAGTCCTGAAAGGGCTTTGGATAACTCACTGGCAGTTAATATCCCTTCAACTGTTTTTCCCTTTAAGCTAAGGAATGCTCATCTTCACCCTGCTCATTTGTTTGTATAAGTATATTATAAAGAGATTTTTTTTTTTTTAAATACAAACTGAAATATTCATAGATGAAATGATATATTGGATAGTGTGAAATTATAGAGTGGGGGTAGAAGGACTGAATCAGGCAGAATTGACAGGATAATGGGCACAGAGAGATTTACTATTTTATAAACCTGTAGAGAAGTAGAGTATTTTTCCATAATAAAAAGTATAAGAATTGTTTTTAATGTAAACAGATTTTATTTTTCTAAAAGTCTTGATTCTACTTACCATCTAGTAATTCTAGAGTAACTGTAGGATCCACATATTCCCACCAATGTTTTCCATCAGTTGACACAGGAATCTCCCAATTGGACCATTTGCAAGCCAAATGAATACACACACATGCTATTACTGTTGGTTTGTACTGAAGACAGAAGGTTGTAAGATGGAGACTGTTGTACAGCATATGTTTGCAAATGAAGAGTCATAAAAATTCATATATGTAAAACAAAGAAAAATATTTACCAGTTAAGATTAGAGCAAAAACAAAATAATGAAGGTTTTCTTCAAGTCTAGAGTACACAGCATTATTTTATTAAATTAAAAGCTAACACTAGAGTTATAAAAATTCTATACTGGAAAAGCTATATAGAATATGAAGTTCTCCACATCTTCACTTCCCAGAGTACTATTGTATATTAAATTATTATTGCAACTAGTATTGTATCACAATTGGTTTTTGATAGAAATTCAAGGTATTTTTACTTATCTATAAAAGGAAGCAAAGATAATATATATGCAATAATCAAAATTTAGTAACAAATAATAAGCACAATACTTTAAATTCTTGTGGTATTTTTGTTTATTTTGTTATTTCATGGCAAAATGTGAAAGAAAACAAATAGAAAACTATTTGTAAAATTGACAAATAATTTCAATGTCACATTATAATCAGGGATTAAATCATTTGATGTGGCTTAACCAGCATTCTTACAACCAACAAAATCCTCAAGTAAATCAAACAGAATTTAACACTTGTCTATGTAAACCCTGCTTTCTTTTCAGCAAACTACAAAGAAAACTTACCTTTTGCTGAACAGCTTCCAATCCCAATGTTGCTAAATACTACAAAAACATTGCCCTTCTGCCTCCACTATATTTGCCAAAAATGATGTCACAGCCAGCCTTTTCTAACCGAAATTTTAAATTTAAGCCTTTTTTGTTCAAAATTACCAAGAATATAGACTAAATCTCAGTAACACATATCTAAGAAAAGACTGATATTTGCAAGTCTAAAATTTTTAATAAAACTTAATGTCAGAAGGAATTAAGGACCATACAGAGCTCATTTAATCCCTTCTTCCCCAAAGACTCATTTAATAAATAATCTCAAATCATTAATCAATCTAGAACAGAATTATGTAAGTTAAAGGCCTTTTAAAGCTATTTTTCAGTTTCAGAACTGATGAAAATGTTTAATGATCAACCACACACCAGTAACATTTTTGCTTTATATAAACTGAAAAGGAGTATTTTTTTTAAACTAAAATTATAATTATGCAAACTACTGTGACAGGACTTAACTACTTCTAGTTTATTACTAATGGGTATTTAACTGGAAAAAAAACCCAAGTTATGTAAAGTTTATTTATTTAAAAAACAAAAAACAAAAAAACAAACTTTAATGATTATTTTAAGGTTAGGATTGGATCAAGGTGAAATTTAAAAAAATTGTCATTTAACTAAAATTGTAAACTAGAAATAGCTTTATACTTACCAAGTAGCTCGAATTTCTACGTTAAGTTTAGCTCTCTGTAATCTTTAGCTGCTATTCAGGCTACCAATTTTAGACTTATGCACTCACAAATCGAGAATATGTCACCAGAAAGCACCACTACACTTCACATTGTGCATTTAACCCCTCTGTGCCAAAAGTCCCTTGTACAATACACCGCAAAGCAAACAGGAAGGTACCACCACAGGAGATGGTCCAGTCTCCTGTTGCAACAAGGGTAAGAGACACATTGAGGGGGCCCTGCATTAAAGGAAGCTATAGTGTGCTACAACAGTGCAACAAAGAGGGTCAGGATAACAACCTGTTGGTAGCCATGAAATAGGATGTCTGTGCCAAATCCTTGCTTGCTGTAAGAAAAAAGAAAAAAAAACGAAAACAATACTTTCAGCTTTAACATGTTACCATCAAAAAGTTCTCAACACAACAAAAACTTCAAAGATTTGTACACAAAAAATGAATTTTACTTACTACTTACAAATATCACAAGAGCGCCATCTTTTTCTATACTACTGAAAATCTTCAACAACATTCACTCAAATGTTTCTTGCTATCCCCCAAAGATCTGAGAAACAAGCCGATTTGCTTTTAGCTAGCCAGTTACAAGGGCTAAACTTGTTACTAAGTTAAGCACCTAGTCAGCTAAAAGGTGCAATAAAGCATTCTCCTGGATTTAAAAAAAAAAAAAAAAAAAAAAAAAGAAGAAGAAGAAGAAAAGATTTTGAAGTCTAATACAAAATACAAAGAGTTGCCTGCCAGACTTAATCCTCAGTCATCATATTTAAGTTGGCTTAAGTATGTCCATCAAAGAAAACAAAATAAAACAAACCCCCACCCCCAAAACTCAGGACAAAATGTTCAGTTTTTCACCATGCTACTAAGCATAACAGAAAATAAACCTAGAAATATAAGGGCGTAGAGATATGTAGCTCCACTGCATTAAAAACAGTAATTATTTGCAGAATCCAATTAAAGACAACGTGTACGAAAGATAAAAGATACTCTAGGGGGAATAAGGATGCTCCAACACTATCCCCAACAGAAAAGCAATTTTTTAACAACTATCTTATTAAGACATTGAAAATGATTTTGTTTTATCCCCCGTTCTACTGTCTCTTATTACTCTTCCCAATGGGGATATTCTTGCTTTAATTCCCCCTTTTTGCCATTACATTCATAAGCACTGACATACCTTTCCCCTCTGCTCAGTTAGAATCAGTTCACCTCAACTCCACCCCTTTCTAATAGGCCTCAAATTCCTTTCCAACTATTTTTTTATCCTTGGCATCTGTAATCCCTGTTGTCCCTGTGGATCATCAGTATAAAGGTTTTACAAAAGGGATTTGGGCTTAGCAGAGTTGTACTAAGGAAGAGTGTCAAAGCATCAGATGTCTTGGAGTCAGTGACTTAAGTATGGCATTCTTTCCTGGTGGGGAGGGAAGGAGAAATCACAGAAGTGAAAGGTCCCTGTAAAATGACATTAGCTAATTTTATAGCAAAGTAGCATAACACCAACTTTTTCATTTCCAAAGGGGGTAAAAGGACTTTATAGAAATCAAATTTATCTACCCCCAATCCCCCCTAAAAATCACAATTTGTAGTAAAGGAAGTAAACAATTTTAAATTGCTGTTTTCATCTAAATTCAATGACCTATAAACACTATACAACACAGGAATAATGTAGGGGAAAATGTTTTGTTAGCTAGAAGCTGTGACAGACTAAAGAAACAAAAAGACACCAAATGTGAAAGAACATTTTTTAAATGGAGGGAAAAGTAAAACAGTTACCTGGAATATTAGTTAGACAAAATGAAGTTAAACATGTATGTAATTTGGACTCTAAGAATTGGTCATGTTTTAAACATTAACCAGAAAAAAAAAAATCAGATTTAATTATTTTGCTTTGGATGACGAAATGATCTCATGCCTATAGATTCTTTTGATGTAGGAGAACATTTACAGAAAATATTCAACTTTTACAAAGAATTTCAAAGAGCTGATTCAAATTCCACAACCAAGAATACTAAGCTGAAAATCCAGTTTCATTTCCTAACAAGTTAAAAATATATATTTAATATATGCTTTAACATCATCTTCCTTCAACAGGTGTTCAATTTAAAGCAAATTATATGGCTATTATTTTGACAAAGCTTAACTACTGTAAGCTTTTTTCTTAACATTTATACCATTATGCATATAATTCTTTATTATGCTGTAATATGAGGGATAGGAACCATGACAAATGGAAATCATAATTAAATGTTATAGTTTACAAATGATAACATCTGGATGTGACAGGATTAAAAAATAAGTTGAATTTTATGGTTCATTTATTAAAAACAGTGGGGTATCAGACAACAGTTTGTGTGTGTGTGTGCTTTTTGAATGTAGTTATTAATACAATAAAATCCTGACTGGGCATAAAATGAATTCTGCTTAGAATAAATAAAAATGTGAGAATATTGAGGTAATGACTAAGAAACAAAACAAAAAGACCTTCAAAAGTCTTACCCATTTTGTTTAGGATAAAGACAGTCCTAAAGAAGTCTGGTGGTAACAGAATGAAACTGCAAATTTCATTTTTAAAAACGAAGTAACAGAAAATGACACACTAAAGATCCCAAGTGGTTGCTATTAGTACACTTCAAATGGGAAACAGAAAAGTAGAAGTAAGAAGCATAATATGTAACTGGGCAAAAAATATTCCTAAGGCTGCAACCACAAATATACAGGATTCTTTAATAAGAGCAAAAAATGTTCTTCTACATGCTTTGTAAGCAGTAATCGAAAATAATGCAAAAACTTCTACTCCTGTTCATAAAAGGTTTAACAGGCACATCACAAGGCATATACTAAGTATCATGCCATGTTATTTAATTATTTTCTCACTATATTAAAGAACAAACAAACAAAAACCATTTTTAGTAATGCTGAAGAACTTAAAAAATGTATTAAATCTATTTTGTGCAAACGAATATAGGCAAAACATTTCCAAAAATAAAAAATCTTCTAACAAACATACTTTTATCTCAAACATTTGAAGTTGGCCTCAAAATTCTTAAAACTGTTATGCCTTAAGAAGTCAATGAAAATCTGACATAAATCAGAAATCATTATTATTTTCTGTACCTATTATTAGCCTACATCTTAAATATTAACTGAAATACGACTGGCACAGCCCAATGGGGGATGGAAAGAATCCTATGATTTGGAAGCCTGTAATTTTTTTAATGAGACTCTCATCAAAGATTAAAGAAGGATAATTCAACAGGCAGAACCACAACAAAGCTAGAGGAACATGTGGATGCAGAACATAAAAACAATGCTTCAAAATGACATTTCCTCCCACTTTAATAAAGCTTAGCAGAAGTCCCTAAGCCCAAAATAGTATATAAACCAATTACAGATTATAAAAGTATTAATACTTATCTTAAAAGTTTCAAAGATGACTTACCTCTTACTAACTGGGTACATTTCACCACATCTGTGTGTGGGTGTTCAATGGTGATCTCAAAACCTGAAATGAAAAGCACTTTTTTTTCCCCCAATTACTTATCACTATAATCTTTCATTGACCACACAACTATAAATTAATATATTCTTCATTTTAAAATATCCAAAACCAAATTAAAGCTTTTTATCAGTGCCAAGCTCATTATATCTCCAATTACAATGATTTATACCTCCAAATCACAAAAATGATTTCTTCTCAGAAACACTGTCCCAATTACAAAAATACATAGATACAAAGTTAGCTAAAGAACAAGGGTAATATTTATTCAAAATTCTTGAGTTATAATTAATTTGGGACTCTCAACACATTAAAAACAAACTAAAATTGTGGCAAACAAACTAAAATTGTGGCAAATACTAACATTATTAAGGTGATCCACAGTTTTAATGTCCCTCAATTTAAGCAGAGAATTCAACTATGTAATATATTTGTTACATGTATCTCAACTTTTTCTATTAGAAGATTTGGAACTTTTTCATAAAAATAACCTTTGTGGCAGACAATGTTTCCACAAGTGTATCTGTATGTTCTGTAAGAATGTCCAGGTATATAGCAGAGCTGACAAGGGACAAGGCTGTAGTCACTTCTTGGACACAGACAGCTACCTGGAGGGAATGAGTAGCTGGACCTGTGTGCTCGGGACCATGGTCATAGGGGACATCAAGTTCAACTGGCATAGCATACTACACAAAAACATTGTTCTACATCCTACTTTGGTGAGTAATGACTGGGATCTTAAAAGTTTGCAAGTGGCCATCTAGATGCAACAATGGGTCTTCTCACCCAGAGGAAAGAAGAATGAAGAAAACCAAAGACACATGGAAACAAGTAGTCCAAGGGATTGGTACACCATGTAATCTTCAGCCTATAAGACTATGAGACCAGAAGAATTAGATGGTGCCTGCCTACCACTGTCAACCACTCAGAGAAGGATCCATGTTAAGAGATCCTGGATAGACTGGGAAGAACAACGTGGAACAAAATGCAAAATCATTAAAAACAAACAAACAAACAAAAAACAAAAAACGACCAGGTTTGCTGCTCTGCTCGAGCCTGGTGAAACTGCTGAGACTATGGCCCCTACATGCTGTTCAGGTCTGGAACTGAATCTACTCCTGTGGCTTCCAGCCAAACAGAAGACAGGCAATATGAGCTGAACATTTACATTAGGTAGATAACATTCCTTGGAGAGATCAATCATGGCAGAAGGGAAGGGCCGTGCATGCACAGGGAGACAGCTTGGAGGGCAGGAGTGCATGGGAGGGAAGGACACAGAGAAGAGGTAACTATGGAGAGAAGTGGGAAGAGCTGTTGCACTGTGGGAAATTGCAGTCAATGTCATGAGACACAAAGTATATGTGAATGCTGTACTGAAAATCAATTTGCTCTGTAAACTTGCACCCAAATAACAATAATAAACAAACAAATAACCAACTAACCTTTGGACTACAGTGGTAGAAATGATCCTTTAAAAATTACATAGTTCTCTAATTTTCTTACAATAATGGACATAAACATGCTGGAAATTATGAGGATGTCACAAGACCTGGTAACATTTTGTTCTATCGTATATAAAAAAACAAACGAAACTCACTGCCATCGAGTCGGATCCGGCTCATAGCGACCCCTCCTTGGGTTTCTGAAGCAGTATCACTGTAAAAGTAGACTGCCCAACCTTCTTTCCAAGGAGTGACTGGTGGGTTTGAACTGCCAGCCTTCTGGTTAGCAGTCAAATGCCTTAGGCACTACGCCGCCAGAGCTCGGTCATCTTTAATCAACTCAAAAACAGCTATCTACTTTTAATGCCTTAGATCAAAGTTTGAAGTAGTTAGTTTATAGCTACATTTCATTAGTAATTTAAATCATTATGGGAAGTGAACCATTTACATTTCAAAGGTCATTAAATCACTGTTGCTAAAACCAAAGATGAAGTGTTGACAAGCTTTCTGTGTCCAATAAATCCTTGTAAGACTTTCTCTTTTTTTAAAGTGGAGATCACATCTAGAGTCTTCATTGCAGTAAACAAATAAAATCCTAACAAATAAGCATTCTGCATTTATAAAGTTACTGTGTGGTATGTTTTGTATAAATTTATATAATAAAAACGTCAAAAAAAGTTACTTTCATAATAAAAAGAATCTGTCAAGATGGGAAGCTATGAAGATGATCATACTTCTTTACGATTTTATTTATTATGGGATAATAAATTAACTACCATAATAACTAATGACTACAGGTAAGAAATTTTGCCCAGGTTTAAAAAGGAAGCTAGAGATTTGCAGATTTAAACCCAGACCTTCCCAAAACCCATACTCTTCTGACCACAACCTGCTTGATTTTTCCAGAAATAACACAGGAGGTTCCCAGTTTTTTATATATCTAACTACGTTAGCTCTGCCATTACTTAACTATATGACTTTCCAAAAGACCAAAAAAACTCAGTGCTGTCAAGTCAGGTCTGACTAATAGTGACTCCTCCTTGGGTTTCCGAGGAGGTATCACTACAGAAGTAGATTCGCAAATCTTACTTCCAGAGGAGTGGCTGGTGGGTTTGAACGGCCAGCCTTCTGGTTAGCAGCCAGACGCCTTAGGCACTACACTACCCTGGTGGCATAGTGCCTAAGGCATCTGACTGCCAACCAGAAAGCTGGCGGTTAAATCTACCTGCCACTCCTTGGAAGGAAGGTTGGGCAATCTACTTCCGTAGTAATACTGCCTTGGAAACCCAAGGAGGGGTTGCTATGAGTCTGATCCGACTCGGCAGCATTGAGTTTTTTTTAATGTGACTTTAGAGAAGTTATAACCTCCTCAGGCCTCAACTTCCTCATCAGTAAAATGAAAGATCAAACTAAATCATCTTTAGAGATCACTTAAGTTGCAAGAACTTTGCAGAAGATGATGTAACTTTTAGAAAAGGATAGTCAAAATTTAAATAATTATTGTTACATTAAAGACTATTTGCCATGTCATTAAACGCTAACTATAAGTTCTAGCAATGCTATGTATGTTTGTACATGTTACAACCGTAAGCAACAGCTCTTAAGAACCCTTTCACTCTCCAGTGCAAATGAGAGCGAGCCTGGGCTAAGTGAATCCAAAAAAAGTAGTTTTGGCTGGGTCACCCAACTATCTAAAAACCTAAGAAATCACATGGAAGGCTATGTTTACAATTCAATTCTATTATATCGGATTGAACTTAAATTTTACAAAAAATGATTTTCTAATAACTAGACAATACTATTCTAACCCAAAAACTTGTTTTAAAACAATTTTCTTTAATAATGAAATCATTCCAGAAATATTCTTTACTTGGAACACTGCATCAAAGAACATAAAAAAGGTACATACCTAGAGTTTGTAGCATTATGGTTTCAAGTATAACCAGTTCTTGAGTCTGTTGAAGGTAAGCCTGCCATGTAAAATAATAGTATCAAAATGCTGAAGATAAACACAGCACTATTAGACTACGGGACTGTTAAATCTCATGAGAATTATAGTATCATTACAAAAGAACCGCAGCAGTTTGGAAACATGGGGGAAATAAATTGAGGGTGATAGAGAAAAGTTATTTTCTGTGACAAGCCTAAACCAATATAAACAAAGTAAAAATAAAAAAAAACCCAAAGGATAATATGAGAGGGGATAGGTTAATTTTTGAAAAAGAAAATCTATATAGTCTGTAAAATAAAACTTTGTTTAGGTATTTAACAGTTGAGGTGCATTAAGACATATTAAGGACAGGATGCATCAAGCCAGGTAAGATCAAACTTAAATCTGTCTTTAAGAAAAAGGGTTTTGAACTCACTTTAAGACATCTCATGTGAAATTCCTTAAAAGGCACAGTAAGCAAGTGAGCTATTTTTAGAATTAACTTCCCTTCCTCAGGAAAGATAAAATAAAAACCAATCTTCAAATATCCAGATTAAAAAATTTCAGATATTAAGAAAACCCCCAAAAACCTGTTGTCTTTGAGTTGATTGGCTCACAGCACCCTACAGGACAGAGTGTAACTGTCCTACAGGGTCTCTAAGGCTGAAATTCTAACGGAAGTAGACAACCACATCATTCTTCTGTGGAGTGGCTGGTGGGTTCAAACTGCCAACCTTTCAGTTGGCAACCAAGAGCTTTAACCACTATGTTATCAGGGTACTCATACAAAATGCCAAATGAATGTATCATATACCCCAGGGACATAAACACCAGAAGACCTTTCCCCTCCATTTCAACCCTAAATCGTTCCCCTATTACAATGACTCTGGGAAGAAAGGGTTTAAAAACTGCAGTCATTCCATTCTTAGATAATGACAATTAAGAAAATTATATATCACATATAAATATTCAATGATGTAAGGACACATTCCTAAACCAGAGACTGAAAACATGTTTGTTTCATTTTACTAATGCTCCATTTTGAAAAAGTTAAACTGAGCTGATATTTAAAACATGAACTGTTATTATTTGTGCAATACCTTAAAATATTCACAAGAAATAATTCTGAATTTTTAAAGTTAACAGAAACTACAAGAATCATCTTTGAATAACAAATTCCACATTTATTTAATGGATACATTAACATTTTATTCTATTAAAGCTAGTATCTAAGATAAAACATGTCATTAATAAAATGAGATATACTTCCATCAAAGTTTAAATTAATCTGGACCTTAAACTTGCCCCAAATCAAACTGAAAGATATAACCTAGCTTTCAAACTCAATCCTGACTAAGTAACTCACTTATAATAATTATGCTAAAAAAAAAAAATTATTTTAAAATGGTACTTTCAAATACAGCCTATTAGACCAACAATCTAAAATGCTGCTCATTAATGCATAGTAAAATATATCTTTATTTACCAGAAATAAGTGTATATGTATTAATAAAAGAATGACTCCTTTTAAAAAGACTAATTACCGGTCTAGACGTAAATTTGGAGGTTTTCTATTCCTTCCTCTGCTGGCAATTTAATCTAAGATAGTTATTTATCCTCTGGTTTCATATACATCTAAGCAACAGAGGTGATAAGCCTTACCATCTACATATGTGTAGCACAGGTCTGCTATGAAGATCAGTAATAAAATGCGAAACCCCTTGGAAGTACCCCCTGAATCAAAGCACCTTGAATCAAAGCCTTATATGATTCAGAATGACATTCAAAGTCATGAACATACATAAAATATGTTTCTATCAGATTGCTACCTGGTATTACATTTCTAAAGTGGTAATAAAAATATGCAGCAATTGGATGGTAACATAGTTAATTTACATTTTTATTAGGCCTAAATCATGAAAAAGTTTTTTTAGAGAAAACCAAAAATAGGATTTTACATACATCACATTTAGTATCCAGCAGTGGCTCTAGAGGATGAAGACAAGCATGTGCTACTTTGATAACATGTTCAAGTTTTCGAGCCTGTTCTTCCACTTTTGCAGCCAAAAATAATGCAGTGGGTGATATCATCTGCAGAAGAGATTAAAATTTGATGGTTTGAAACAAATAAATTTTGAAAAAATCCTCTAATTTCTAAGGGGGAGGGTGTGCAAGGAAAGGAATATAGTATCAATAGTATGAACTGCAATGTGAGCTATGACAAAACTGATGAAAAGAATTTTAATCAAGCTATTCATTAAATAGAACTTATTACGCCAGTCTATAAAAATCTATTTTACTTGTCTTATAAAAGGAAAATAACAAAGGGCTGAAAGGGGAAAAAACTTTATACTTTAGTTAAATAAGGAAGTTTTTTAAATATTAATTTGCACTCTGAGGAGGAAAAGGAAAAAGCAAACTGAGTGGGTAAAGCAGACACTCTCTACTCCCTTTTTGGGCACAGAATCACCACTTTCCATGGCTCTTTTAAATTAGGATATGATTCATTATGTGGCTAGGAGGTACACAATCTTGGTTTCAGGGACAGAAAAAGATCTACAGAGCAAAAGAAGAGAATTCTGAACATAAAAGTGCTATCTAATAATTCTATTACTTCACTACGGCAGTATTAAACCAAACGACAACAAAGAAATCCACTGCCACTGAGTGGATTCGGACTCACAGTGGTCCCAACAGGGTTTCTAAGGCTAGCAATCTTTACGGAAGTAGACTGCCTCAACTTCCTCCTGAGAAACAGCTAGTGGGTTTGAACCGCCAACCTTCTGATTAGCAGCCAACTGCCTTACCCACTATGCCACCAAAGCTCCTTACAGCAGTATTAAAACCAGGTAAAAAATGGGAGTAAAAACATTAAGATAAACCACCACAGTAAAAACTTTGGCAACTGGGTATCAAGATTATATTCTTAGGATAAAAGTTCAAGAACATGATACTACATAGACATTTCCTCAGACAAAGAAAATAAATTTTGAATAAATACCCCCCAAATTAGTAATAAAACAAATAAATGCTGACATGGAAAACAGGCATACCTTAAACTCAAGTAACATTCTAAGATTACACACAAAAAATTTCTCATGGAATGGTAATTTCTTAATGTCAAGATTCAGGTAAATAATTGTTAAGAGATGAACATCTGTATCTCACTACATCTTGGGGATTCCATCAACCCCTATATAGAAATAATGTTGAGAGAGAGAGAGAGAGAGAGAGAGAGAGCGAGCCTGATTGATTTTCGTGTGTGGGAGTGTTGGGAGAAGACAAGCATAAATTATGCCAAAATATGATTGAGTCAGTAAAAGAAGAAAATTTCTTGTACGGGGAAGGTAGATGGATCCCTTCTTCTGAGAATTTTTAAAACAACTTATAAATAAAATAATGTTATCCTAACAGGACTGAATAATTTCAACTTGGACTTTCAACTTATTTCCATCTTTTAAAATTAAAATTGCAGTTGGCCCTCTGTGTCTGCAGGCATCCACGAATTCAGTTAACTCAGATAAAAAAATATTGGGGAGTGAAGGAAGAAGACTCCTAAAAAGCAATTTAAATTGTCAAAGCAATCTCTCAAAGGCTAAGCAGGAGCATAAAGTATAATTTATATAGCACTGACACTGTATTGTTGTTGTTGTTATGTGCCGTCGAGTCAGCCCTGACTCATAGCGACCCCTCCTTGGGTTTCCGAGGCAGTATCACTACGGAAGTAGGATTGCCCAACCTTCCTTCCGAGGGTATTGTAAGTAATCTGTTGTTGTTGTTGTGTGCCTTCGAGTCGGACCCGACTCACAGCGACCCCTCCTTGGGTTTCCAAGGCAGTATCACTACAGAAGTAGATTGCCCAACCTTCCTTCCGAGGAGTGGCTGGTGGGTTTGAACTGCCAGCCTTCTGGTTAGCAGTCAAGTGTCTTAGCCACTATGCTACCAGAGCTCCTATAAGTAATCTAAAGACTTAAATTATATGAGAGGATGTACATATGCTACATACAAATATTATGCCATTTTATAAAAGGGACTTGAGCATCCTCAGATTTTGGATCTGCAGGGGAGGGGACTGTTCTAGAACCAACTCCCATGGATGCCAGATACCGAAGGATGACTATACAACAAGGAAATGACTGAAAAAACTTTAGCAACTTAGTTTAGGACAAACCACTGTTATTCTTTACAGCAGATTTACTTAGGCAACGTCAGTATTACTTAATATTCTTGAAATAGCAGTTAAATAGCATTCTCTACGGTGGGGGGGTAGACTGAGAAGTAGAAAGTGTAGTTACCTGAGAGCAGACAATTATTTTCTATGTTATTTTTTCACATACTTAAAACTCCCAACCACTACTATCTACTTCTTCTAATTCCTTTTCTATGTAAAGCCTTAACTCTAAGATTACCTCCTCCCAAGGTAGAGTTCAGTTCCTTAGTCATTGTGAATTGCCTTCCTTTATTCAATAGGAACTTCCATATGTACCTTTATCACTGTACTTTATACTGTACTGTAGCTGTTGGTTTATTAATTTTATCTGCCCTTCCAGCCTAGAAGTGGCTTGAACACAGAGACTGAGTCATTCATTTCTATTCCCATTATTTAGCATTGTGTAACTGTTCCTCCATGTTTACTGAATGAATGAGATGTGGAAAATCCGTATGTAAATATAAAGGCATCCATATTAATTTCAAAGTATTCTAAATGCCACCAGAAAAATCAAAGAGCCAGTATAAATGTGACAAACATTAAGTAAAATGAAGATACTCTTTCTTTCCCATAATCTCTCATCTATTCCCATTCAAGAGAGGAATGGCTAAAACTTTGACCTTTTCTCTCAGCCTTCAAATGCTAGAACAATTTATCAAAGTGTAAAGAATGCTCAAATTAAATATAAAATTAGACCAAATTAATGTTAAATTTCCTTTGTAACTGGTAGGTGGCCTAGGATTTTTCTTCCTTATCAGGCACTTATAAAAGTCTCCAATGAACTTTCTTTGGGGGGTGGGGTGGAGGAGTGTAGTGGTGTAAAACCTCATAGGATTCCCAGTTACAGCTCCATTCTCCTGACTTTTGGTACTAGTGGTGGTGCTGAAGCCTCAAAAGCAAAACACTTTCAAACTACATAGCTTTTCCATTTCTCAATGGAAACAAAGTAATATACTATTGAATGATTCGAAAATTCTACAAATAATTGAAAAATTAACTATTCAGGGAGCCAACCAATGATCTTTAGTGGTAGATTCCTGATTTATTTACCCACACTCCTCACAGAAGTCTTTCCTGTTCCCTCTAAACGGTTCAATTCTCATCCTTCTCCAGTGCAACACTACTACCCAATACACTTCCAAAGTTCCTGGTGAAATCCACTAACTCCATTCACATTTCCTCCTCTATAGCCTGCAAACATTTTACTCCATCAGGGCTGTAAAAACAAAACAAAACAAAACAAAAAACAAAACAAAACAAAATACCTTTTTAGAGAAATCCTTTGTGAATATCCACATGAGGCTTTAATTTTAAGGAAGGTGCTCAAACTAGGTACTACTGCTTTTTGAATGGAAGGCTGATTTTGTTCTGTGGCTTGTTAAAAGAATTCCAAAAGTTTTGGATAATGGCAATATTACTAGTGGCTCCATGGTTTTTAAAGGTGAGGATAATAATTTGAAGCCAACAGACATTCACTGGCACATGTAAACTAGGTTCAAAGCCAAAGAATTCACACCAATATTGTTGGAGGAGTACAGATACTCAGTTCATCTTCACTGAACAATTACACACAGAGATTCAGCTCACTGGTGGCAGTTACCATGCATTACCTATCTTTGTGTTCTGATGTGTAGTTTAATAAACTTTGGAAAGTAACTAAAAGGAAGAAAAGTGAATAGCTCCTACAATTTGTTACTCTAGTAGATGTACAACCATGTTTAAAAGGATTTTACATTCTCAAGACAAATTTCTACAGAAATATATTATACAGACACTGTAATATATAATCAGACTTCCTCAGTGAAATCCTGGCTCTGATATCTGACTAGTCTAGGCAAATTATTTCCTTTTTGGCTCAGTTTTTGCATCCATAAAACAGGAGTTAAAAATAACTACTCACAAAGTTGTGAGAATTAAATGAATCAGTGTATGTAAAGCACTTAGCAGAGTCTGCTAATATTTGAGCAATAACGCTCATTTATGGTTAAATGCAACTCTTTAAAGGTTTTGCTGTAGTTCTAGCTCAGCAGATTCACACAATGGAATTATACTTGACATTACTACAATGGTTTACACCTATATTAGTCTCTTCCTTTCTTATTCCAGTTGTTTTTACCTGCTCGCCTTTTGGATTCCTTTGTATGTTTCCATTCCTACCTCTTGGTCTGGTTCCTTTCCTTCTCCATTTCTTCTCTTCCTGCCCATTTCTGGCTGCTGTCTCCCCCCTCTGCTCATGATGCCCCCATTACTGACATTCTTTACTCTCCATGGCTGGCTTCAACATTAATAGTTGGAGGCAAGGTCAGTGTGAATTAACAAAACATCGGGCAATTTCTAAGTCACTGAAGATGGCTGTCAGCTTCAAGTGAATTACTCTGTACACTAATTCCTTTCACTGTGGCCCTTAACTCTTTTAACAATTAATTCTGTGCATACATTTTATGTGTACGTTTGTATTTAAGGACTAGCCATAGCTCTTGTATTACTCTTCAACTTTACTATGCAGAAAAATCCTACCAGAGGCAAAGAAAAGGCTTCCCAGTATACTTTCTATTTGCTAATCCATTGCTGAGAAGCTGATATTAATCTCTTCTTGTTTTTACCTTTAAACCCTATAGGCTGGTGAAGCCATTTCTCCTTTGCTCTTAAACTGCCCCCCAAAACACACCACTGCCCAACCAAGACCAGGATAAGTATTTCCTATTCTTTCAAAGGACTTCATTAACAAATACCCATCCAGTTCTAGGTTTTATAGCTCAAAAGTTTGGAAATCACTTACCTAAGACTATATAGAGTTTAAGAGAAGTGGCAGTGGTTTAGCCTTAGCAAAGGCTCACACAAAGAAGGTCCTAGGCTCACAGAAAAAAGGTCCAAAGGACCA